TCCGTGCTGCTAACAACTTAATAATTTAAGTATCCGTCCGTTATTAATTAAAGTATTCGTGCTGCTATATTATACATCCGCCCGTTAATTAAGTATCCGTGCTACATAGTCCATTAGTTTGTAAAGGGCTTCACGTTGGGTTTCACAGATGGAAAGTTGACACACGATACTGATATTTGGGCCTGAACACTACAGGGCCCAAATTCTTTGATGAATCTTTTCTATGGAGCTGATAATAATTGTAAACTAAAGTGATGAAAAAAACTCTATAAATTGGTTCATTGTGGGGGGAATGGTACTATAAGCAATTTAATTGAACTGCTCTATCATTCTACTACTTCTCTTTATTTTAGAAAGAATGACGGTTTTCAATTTTCATAATCGATTTTTTTGTTTGTGTGTAAATTAGAACATAAAGTATATAATTTTTTAAATAAAATTGACATATTTAGAAATTACAAACGAAATGTCATAAATCATAACTTTCTACAATTCAAATGAAATATAGATCTCAATTCCTTATTGATCCGGTCAAGGGAAAGATGGAATACTACTATCATTCAGTGACTATGTAATAAAGCGCTTGTTAAAGTATACATTTGATATACATTATTATTTTTAATCACCAACTTTAATGAACTCTTTATTAATTATATATATCAGACTTGTCAAGTGGGCTAAAGAAAAAATTTTCTGTTGACACTTGTTATTACTTATTATGTGTGCCAAAGTTAAACATTACGAGTTTTAAAAGCCCAAGTCACATAAATATTATAACATATTTAAATTACAAATTTTAAAAAATTATTAAGTATTTCTTTCTTTTAAGGACAAATTACCTAACTACACTCCTTTACTTACCTTAATATCTATTTATCCCTACTTATTTAAAAAATCTCTTATTTACCTATGTATCCCGTGCACAATGTTATGTATCTCGCTATGTGGAATGTATCAAACGCTATGTATCCCGTGCACAACGCTATGTATCCCACATGTATCCCGTGCACAACACTATGTATCCCGCTAGGTGAAATGTATCAAACCTAATGTATCCCGTGCACAACGCTATGGTGGAATGTATCAAACCTAATGTATCCCATGCACAACGCTATGGTGGAATGTATCAAACCTAATGTATCACGTGCACAACGCTATGGTGGAATGTATCAAACCTAATGTATCCCGTGCACAACGCTATGTATCCCGCAAACATAATTTTTAAGGGATTTTTGATAAATAGAAAACTAGAAGGGATAAGATGTTATTTAGTACTTATAATATGTGGTTTCTATAATTTATACTTCTTTTAACTCCTATGGGCTATGAGTATTGCTCCTTAATTCTCTTAATCATAGTTAGGTTAGACCTACTTCTTTCAAAACGCTCCATAGTGAAATATTTCATGATCCGTTATTTGTGACTTTCTTCATTAAATAGGTTCATATAAACAATTGATTAGGGAAGTACTTGAATCTTGTTTACATTATTGTGTTTTGATCCTTGAGCTGAGAATTTATTTTAAATAACTTTTCTATCTTCACAAAATAGAATTACTTTTTGAATGAGTTTCAACTGACATTTAACTTTGAAGTTGGTGGTGATCAGTGATAACATTTTGTTTACTTAACCACCTTATAAACTACTAAAATAATCTTTTTAGTCTTTGTGATCTCTGTCTGTCCCCACTTTGAAATAAATAAAAAGTAGAAAGTTGGACAAGTGATGAATCTTTTTCTTTAACTTCTTTGCTAGACTAGAAAGTGAAAGGCAACAACACTCTTCCCATATTACCTTTTTCTACAATATCTACTACTATTCTCACCATTTTTTTAAAAAAATATTCACCATGACAAAATAAAAAGAAAGGGAAAAAAATAATTTTGAAAAGAGAAAGCTAACATATTTGTTTTAATATTATTAGCATAAGTTCTTCAATAAGTTGCACAATATTCAAATTTGATTTTGTATCATTGTATGTTTGTGTACTATTTAAACTATTTTGACCCAAACTTGAAAAATCATTTAAAGATTGACTTGTTGGGATTTGGGTCAAATCAATATATGTGTTATAACGGAACTTGTTATAATGTAAACATTTGATGCAGATAAATATTTCCTTCGTTGGAAGCGTAGAAAATCAATCATTATGCACTAAGAAGCATTGAAGTGTTTGATTGAAAGTAGTAAAGATGATGCTACTAACACGATTTCTCATGGGGGTCACTATATGCACTTGGGGTTGACTCTCTGCTTAATTCATGTTTTTTAAACTTGTTATCCCTATTGTTGATATGACACGAAATGCACTAAACTCACTAATTATATCAATTGGAGAAATTGATATTATGGAATTTGAATTGTTTATTGTGGGAGAAACTTAAACTATATATGGTTTATGGGTGATGAGTGATATCAACGGGATAGATTCATGTTCTAGCGGATTGTCTTATTTTAAGTGTTTTTAAATAAAAATATTTTTAAAAATATTTTGTAGTGTTTGAATAAAATTAAAAAGTATCATTAGATTAAAAGCCTATTCAAACAGACTATTTTATATGTTTATTTAGGTCCGATGCTATTTATAAGAGTATTTTCGCTTTATCATAGATATACATACTGCAAGTATATATGATATTATCACTTATGAAATTTATTTTTCTTATTTTCCTAACAATTTGTTCCTATTTTTTAAGGAATTTGTTTCTAATGAGAAAACATTTTGAACAAAGGAAATATGAGAACAATTTTAGGAATTTATTTTTCCTTAACAAACACACAGTGTATTTAGTGTATTACATTTATGTTTCCTTTGAAGAAATTTGATGAGTTTAACTAAATTTATTACTACTCTGAATGCTGAAAAGTGTTACGAGCAGTGAAAATTGGAAGTTGTGGCTCAATTTGTATTTGCAAAATGAGGTTGAAAATATTCCTATAACCTATAGGTTAGGATTTAATCTTTTTTGTATGCCAATCATGGGAATCTATTTTCAGTCTTCACTAATTCTGTATTCTAGAAAAACAAGTACTTGTGTGAAATTCTGTTCACTAGGTTTTGATTAGTTACTAAATTAAATATTTGCCTAATTTATGAGTAATAGTATTCACTCGTTTAGATGTGTAATGCTTATTATAAAATGGTTAAAAAGTGTTTTAGTATAACTAAAATTAGTAGTATTGACAATACATATAAGATTGAGGGAATACTATTTTTTTGAAGAAAAGAAATAAAGAGGGTAGTAGAAAATCTCTTGCAAATAGCGACAGGGTAGCAAGGGTTCATCTGAACCTTCTTCAACGAAAAATTATATTGTTTATATATAGTTAAAGTTAAAAAAAGAAAATTCATGTATAAATAGTAAATGTTGAACCCTCTCAATTTCTTCGTGAGTTTTCGTTTTCATATTTTGAATCGTATGAATCTCAATTATACTCTAAAATTGCATTTCATTAGGAGTTACTTTCATTCCCATGGGTACGTGTTGTAAACTGTAATATCCAATGGGAGATTTTTTGATAAAAAGGAATGGCTAGAAATAGAAGAACCCTACATTGAACAACGACTTTGAATTATTAGTTGTCCCAAAAAACACAAGAGACAGCACATGCATATATAGGGATAAAAAATTGTCATATATAAATGCCTCTTAAAGGGAAAGAGTAAAAGCCAAAAGAAAGAAAGAAAGAAAAAAGGCTAAAGCTAAGTGAAAATGCCAAAAGCATTTATGCCATTAAAGAGCATATGGGGGATTTTGGGTCCCATATCCAACTAATTTCTAATATATATCTAGTATAAGGTGTGGCTTCCATTTGCTCAAACCTTCAAAAATATCTACTTTGTTTTATATTCAACAAATTGCCAGACTCCACATAAATTGTTCTCATTTTCTAAGTGCCTTCTTCTAATGTCTACATCAACATAAAAGTTTGATTTGATTGTCAACTCATTCAGATGAACTCTCCTATTCAATCTTGCTCAACTATTATTATGTAATTAATTCTCGAACACGACATTTGATACATGGAATAAGGATAATAATCCATGATAAGAGTTGAAAAATTTAAGTTACATAAATAATTTAAGAATTGTCTATAATTATGACCTTGGGGAAAAAAGGATAAATTATCTTCTATCTTCTATCATTATTATTGGTAGCCACTCTTAACTGGCCTTTGGGTGTTGACAAACTGAAAAAAAGACAGGAAAACGAACGAATCTTAATAGCTCAGTTAGTTGATTATCTGAACTCCCACTTTATTTAGTTGGTTCTATTCCTTCACATTATAATCCCATCTTCATTTTCCCTTCCACTGCCCCTTCTTATTTTAAAAAAAAAAACCTTTTTTGACTTGGTTTGTAAATAAAAGGTACTACTACTTGGCTTTTTCTAGAATCCTCAGAGGATCATAATTATCTACATGAAAGAGAAGACTTTAGGCATAATTGAACTCCCTTACACTCCAAGACTTTGTGTTAGCTAAATTGTGTTTTTATTTGGGATTATTTTAACACATTTCTGCAGTTATGATGAGCATGATTTTTTTTTTTTTGGAGTGAACTTTAGAGAGCCAGCCCATTCCTGCAACTAAACATAATGAAGAAGAGGCACATCTATGTAATGATGAAGAAGATTTCAAACTTTGAACATAAAATCTGAAAAGAAGGCTCAACTATTATTCAAACCACCAGTAAAAATGGAAAAAGAAGCTAAGCCGCCTTCCAGACTAAAACTTTGACGGGTACATGATATACATCTAAACGTTTCTCTCTTCCACTTTCTACTGTCAGCTGTATAAAGTTTATGTACATGGAAAACACACACTGACCAAGCAAAAATATGTTACAAGGGAAGGATAAACACTAATTTGAACAATAGCTTCCCAGTTTCAGTTGAGCACTTGAGGCATCTTAAAATTCTCAGACCAACATCCATCTTCCGGAAGATAAGTTGGTTAACAACTATGTACCTCAGAGCTGAAGGAGACAATTGCTCACTTTAGACTCTCTCCTGGAAGCTGAGGGACCTAGAGAAGGCTGCAGGATTAGCCTGCAAAGCCGGGGATGTAGTGACAGGGTGATCCTTTTCACTGCTTTTCGGTTGCAAGGCCTTGAAAAGCCCTCCCCTGCTAACGGAATCGTACTTGATTCCCAGTGTGGACCATATAGAACTCTTTGCAGCTTCATCAGGATCATCTATCCGCAATGTTTTTGGTACTAAAACAGACCCCTCTGAGTTCTTTTGACCCTCGGGATTGTTTGGTTTAAGCAATTCACCGTCCCTTGAGTGCTTCCCTAAAGGCGAATTAGGAGCAGAGCTTGATCCTTTTTGGTTTGCGGTTGGCGATGGTGGAGTTAACCAAGGAAGACTCCATGGACCAGGCACATTGCAATTCCAATAAGGTGGAGGGCAGAATGGCATAGGATATCCAGCAGGGGTAATGGCAGGGAAAGGAACAGCAGCGTATGGAATAGGCCAAGGTACTCCTGGGAGGCAAGGAACTGGAGATGGAAAGGCATTTATAGTTTGCATAACTGCTTCAGGGGGGCGGTTTTTAACCCCTTCCGCCATTGAATTTGAAGTGGTGACTGAAGATCCACTAGAGCAGTCATCCCCATTTTCTCCACCTATGCCAGAAGGATTCTTGTGTTCTCGTCTGTAAAAACCATTTTGGATCCCATTTGGTGTCTTATTCTCGGCAAGATTCAAAACAGAGGCCATAGAGTCACACAGTGGCAAGTCAGGACCAAACGATAGGACAGTTCCATTGGGTTTGAACGCTGGATGATGAAATCTGGTCGGAGGATCAATTCTTGCAGCTTCAAGGGCTTCAGAGATCATGATGTGACGACAATGCGATGCAGAGTTCTTATTCTTGCGACGACCAGCTCCCACAGGCACATTCCTCATGGTACCCCCAGCAGTCCAATATCTCTGGCAACTCTTGCAGAAATGACGAGGCTGATTGACGTTGTAATTATTGTAGTAACAGAATTTCGTATCCATACTATTGCAACGAGGGCAGGGGAGAATTTTATCTGGCTTCTTCAGTGTTTTCTGCTGCGAATTCGATGAATCATTCTGATCATCCTCAGTCTTGGAAGATTTCACTCTGGGAGAGTCATCATCAACAGTATGAGTTTTAGTTTTGTTTTCTGATGGAGACTTAAGATTATCTGATTCTTCCATCATTAGATTTTGGTCTTTCTCCTCTAATTTAGCTTCACTGAGCTCTCTTGTCATTCGATCCTAAAAATTGAAAACCAAAACTTTATGAGTTGCCTATAAGATTCCCATAACAAAGCTACAGTCAATGATGTGAGCTAAAATTCAGTCTTACAAAGTAGAAAGAATCTCAAAGTCCTTTGCAGTGACAAATTAGACTTTCTTATAGGATTCCCGTTAAGTTGGAAAAGAGGACAAAAGGCAGAGAACCTGATTCTTTCTCCAATTACTTTAGTTAACACTACATCTAGTAAAAAGGGGTCATTATTGAAAAAGATATTGAGCACAAATTACACAGGACTTGGTTTCTCATCTAGAGAATGACTGAACAGGGCAGAAGAATGTTCAATTGCTAATACGGGAGAAGGCCAAAAATGCAATATGGCTCACAAATGCCCTCAGCAAACCTACACCAACAACAGTGAAATCCCACAACAGTGCTAGCAGACCTTACCACTAAATCGTGGAAGGTAAAGGGTTGTTTCCGAAAGAGGAAATGTCCTCAGCCTACTTTTTTGGTTCAAATTTGGCCCTAAAACTAACAGACTATACCTGATTATCAAATCTGACACTTTATTTCCATTTGAAAATCCCAGAAATTAATAACATAACATTAAAAACTAAGTACAAAAATTGATTCAAATTACATCAATGAATAGTTCAAATCAGTACCTTATCAGTCTCTTCCTTTTCGTATTCACTTCCATCATCTGATTCATCCTGCTGTGAACTGTTCCCTTCCTTATCCACTAAACATGGACCACGATCCGACCCGGCACTACTTTCATCAGCCGTAACAACCTCACTCGCACTCACAGATTTTCCGACATCGGAATCTTCACTGGTGACTATTACCGGTAGTATCTTTCCATTCTCAGGCAGAACAATTTTCTTTCCAAATAGCTTAATCTCTGGTTCCTTCACTTGCCTCATTTTACCGGAGAAAAAAAAGGACAAACGGAAAACTCAAAAAATTTAAAATAAAATTGGAGAAGAAGATAAATATCTTCCTACAGAAAACTCGTTTAGTCGCCGTGAATTCGTCGCCGCCGGCCAACGTCGTCGGAAAAGTGAACGACGATTTTTTTTATTTTGTTTGCAGGTGAGATACGGTATTAGAAGTAAGAAATATAGTTAAGGCCTTGTTGGCAATGTTGAGGATTATGATTTTGATCTCGCTTAATTTAAACGATAGGATACTGGATTATGGATGCCACGTCATGGCCCCCTCCATTAATTTTCTCAGCCACAAGTTTTTATTGTGGCCCTTCATTTAGTATATGTATCTTTCACTGCTTTTATTTGATTTATAAGTTTAGTTAAAAATATTTATTTTACTTAAAGAAAGTCATATTTTTAGAGATTTTAAGGATTTGAATAGGTTTCTTTATGAAAATAAGTAATTTTAAGTAATAACAGACTTATTTTGAACCGTGCATGCCCTTAAAGAAAAATGATAGATATAAATATTTTAACATAATATTCATGTTAATTTATATTTAGTATTATGTCTTGAAAAATGATTTAGAGAATAATATAATTAATGCTAAGAATTAAATATTGAGAAATAATTGTCTTTCTTGATATATTAAAATTGAGAAGTAAAAGGGAAAAAAAAAAGTAAACTTTTACTTTTTAAAAAATAATAAATAAGTAAAATTTTAAAATAGTAAATTTAAATTTATTATCAAAGAAAATTTTTTATATATAAAAAAAGCACTAACAATAGAAAACAATATTGTTCAAATAAACAAACTTTAAATTTAAGTCAAATAAACTATTAGATTCATGAGCTGCACAGAAGTTGGGTGCACCCTGCGTTAACCAAATCATTGTGCTCAAGTTTAAAATGTGCTAACTCATAATATATTTAAATTATTTTTTATATCGAGTTTCTTGAAATTCTGCTTTCTTAAGTTTGGATCATAAATAATCTTACAATAAAGTATCTTATTATGTCATATTCTTAAGTAATCACATGTTGTTGGTTTCAAGAAAAAAAATAGTTCACATATTAATCAATGCAGAAATTAAAATATGGGGATTATTTATTATATGAATAAATTAATATTGAATAGATTGTTCTAAGACAATCAATAATAATATATGAACCTACGTATTTTAAAACGATATTTTATTTTTAAATAGTATAATCTTCATATCATTAGTACGTATATTTTAATTTAAATACTTTTTTATGATTATATAGAATAATATATAATTTTTGCGTAACTTAATATATGTATTATTATAGTAAATATCTTCCACTAGTTATTCCAAATTATTTAATCAAACGACCCCTAACTGTCAATGTCGTGGAAGACGGAACAAGCTTTGATGAAAACTTCGACGGTTGAAAGACACTGAAGCAGTGGGCCCTATCCAATAATATTTGAATTTAAAACTAATGCCCTTTTTCATAATATTATTACTTGTCTAATTATAATTGGTTTCAAATAATTATTTACAGTTTTTTTTTTCTAAGAAATATCTTCACCTACCTTTTTTAAAGTGTTCTTTTTTCCTTTTCTTCTCTTTTTCAAATGTAAATCGACGGACATGATCTTAATATTCATTTCGTTCAACCACTAATCAATTAGTCAAACTACGAATAAGAACTAATGGTATCATAATATTATTATCATAAATAATGTTGACTAACAAATAGTAAAAATAAATAGGGTTGTAGAGTTGAAATTTATCTAGGTATTGTGATTTATAATTGGACTAACTAATGTAGTTGATAGATATGGCTTGTCAGACTTTATCTGGGTTAGTTAAAATTCATATTGATTTTTATCACTTCATGTATTTATATAAGCTGACAGTGATATAATCCATGTTGAAGATCTAATATTTGATCATTCTTATAAATATAAATCATTAAATCGTTTCTTATTTTCTTAAATTCAATTAAATTGCTAGTCAAAAAAAGAATAATGAAAAAAGATCGTAGTCAAAAGTTTCATACTTTTTGAAACACACTTTCCAAATAAATATGAAGTTGATGAATACTTTATCTAAATTTTATGGCTGTGAGATCTAACTTGCAAATTTAAATTTATGGCTGTGAGATCTCTTCCAAATTTGATTGACAAAAAAGAACAATAAATAATAGGAAATTCAATCAAAAATATCTTCTGTTTTTTAAAAAAAAAATATTTTCTCATTTATGTCACCTTTAAGCTACAATCCACACGACAGGTAGTTTAAAATCTTTTTCTTGCTGTCCCAGCTTGCAGACTCATATAATTTCCAATTTTTTATATTTTTTTATAAAAAAAAAAAAAGACAATATGATCTGTATATAGTCGGTATGGCCCACCTAATCAAAAGGGCAAAAAGGTGAGGAAAATATCATCCGTCTGATAAGTTTAAAGTGATTGGATGATTGCAGAAGAAGATTTGGGTAGCTGATGATGAGTGATGACTCATATATAATTAAATGATATTATAAATCAACCAATCAGGAAATGAAATGTGTACTTGTTGAATTATTGCAAAAAGGTGAAGTTAAAGACAACTTTGCTTACATTATTGTCCTTCATATTTCATATCTGACTCATAAAGGATATGGAAATTCTTTAAAATGTTATGTCCACTAAAAGTAAAAATAAAAAGTCAATTAAAAGTTTTAAAAAAATAAACTCTATCCGTTTTTAAAAAAATAGTTTAATTTGACCTGGCATAAAGTTTTTTTAAACAAAATAGTTTTGTAATTCTAAATTAAAGTTATATCAAATGTATCAAAATGTCATTTAATCTTGTGGCTTTAACATGCCACGTAGAGAGTTGAAATTAAAGTACTGCCAAAAAAAAATCATTCTTTTTGGAAACATACTAAAAAAAACATGATGTAAGCCATTTATTTTCGAACGGACGAAATAACTAACAAGAAAACAATGTATATATATGAAATTACTAAGTAGGGCTGATAATTGGTTGGGTTGGGTCATGACAGCAAATGGGTCAAGATCCAAGTCAATCCAAATTTGCTTAGGTAAAAATGAATTGGATCAAAATAGGTCAAGTAATCGGTTATAAAATGAGTCAAAACTCAACCCAATCCAAACCAAATTTCACTAAGGTTTAATTATTCTATTTATTCTTTTAAAATATTATGAAATCTAATAAAATTATTCTTTCTTTATTATGGCTATATATAACATATCAAATAAAATAAAATAAAAATTGACAAAATCTCCTTAATCAATTTAAATTACGTTGACCAAATTTAATATGAAATGAATTGAGCTAATAAATAAACGGACTAATAATCCGTCCAAACTTCAACGGGAGTGGAATTATGGTGGACAAACTACAAGTTATTAGTCTATTTTGCGAGTTTAGAGGAGTCTCTACTTGTTGGGTGAATAATTAGGCCTTATTTTCTCTTCCATTCAATTCAATCAAAGGTTTAAAGTTGAATGATTAAATACAATATTAGTATGTGTGTTTGTTTATATTAAAATTTTAAAAAATTATTTAGTTTAAATAGGTCTTACTTGTGAAAATCTGTTGTTTTGAATAAATTTAATATTATTAGGAGGTAATTTATGTGGATAGTTTTCAACATGATCACTTTATTCATAATTATCAATCACTATTTATAATTTATGTGATCACATTTTTTACTACTTTATTTACGGTCATCAATACTTCTGTGATTATAATCATCATCATCGTTACTTTTGCTAATTTCTAACTATCACAATCACCATCGATATCGAACATTATTGCCAATCGCTATAATATATATCATTCATCATTGCGATTATATTTATTGCCCCCATAGTACCATTGCCATCACCACCGTCGCCATGCATCTCCATTACTACTATGGTTAATTCCTACTACATACCATGTTTATTTATCACGACTAAAAACTTCATCAACTACTATCATCACCATCAACACAATCAAATACTAATTACATTGATCAACTTCACCATCTCAATCATCACCACCACTATAAATTGTCATCATCAGGTCAATCACTATAATACTATCTAACTCTACTATCATAACTATTACCATCACCTAAACCACAAAACAAAAACTATTTTTAATTTTTTTTTCTTTTTCTGATGTTTCATTATTATTTTACTTAAATTGTATGTTTATTATGTTTATGAATAAATAAATAATCCATATTCAGGTATTGAGAAATAAAAAATCTTAATCATTCAAATTCAGATGTCTTAATAGTAAATAAAAGGAAAAGATAAATACCAAAGACAAATTATATGAAATAATCTCTAGTATAATTAGATTAAAATGTCCAAACTAATTTACTTCACATGTAGAAGTTGATCCAATATGACATGTTTGATAAAGAAGAACATGATGAAAGCCTAGAGCTTATCCAATTAAACGCACATTTTTTTTCGTGTAGAAACCTCTTCAACTAATTGACTCAATTTTTCTGATGATATTATTTTATAACACTACAAATCTACAACATTTTACAATGTGAAGGTTTCAAGTTTTATTACTACTGCTGCCTAAAATTTAAATTTTGTTGTAAAATGTTGTATAAATTAAATTTCAGCTGTTCTTAAAATGTTTTTGTAATCTGATAGGTAAAAAAAGAAAAAGGTACTAATTTTTTTCAAAAAAGTTATACTAACTGATAAGTCTCAACAGTTATTTTTTTCATATGTAATTCTATTAAATCGAATATTAAATTTATAATTTACTCATCCACCCAGGAGCGTAGCTATAGTCATCCCTTCGTCGGAAAATTACATTATATATATATATGTCAAATTTTACATTTAAAGGATATATATATTTAAAGTTGGACATTCTTGACAAAAGCTATATTTTTGGTGCAGTGGTAATAGGTGTCCATTTGAATGAAGGAGTTCCGGATTTGAACCTCAAACAACACAATAATTTTTTATTTTATTTTAATAGCCACACATCATTATTCTTAAATATCCTTAATAAAAATTGACTCCGCCACTACATGATCCACCAATATATCAAGACTTACATCTGAAGGAATTCGATTTCAAAAATCAACCAATTAAAATTATATTAACTTTGGTCAATTTTCATTGGTCTGCTATTTCCACCACATCAGCAGGACATATCCACATTAGGGCTCTTTTGATATGATATACACGGGATAATTAATTTCGAGATTATGAA